ATAATTAATTTAATTAACTGTTTTTTAATAAAGTGAAAAATAATACAAATCGGAGATTTATTTTTATTAAATTGTTGTTAAGAAATACAATTTTCATTTTTCAAATTGGCATATGAATTACTTTTAAAATGTATTATTTTTTAATGTTAACAAAATAATTTTGCAGTTTTATACTCTGTTTATAACTTGCTAATAGCTTTTCATTCATTAACAAGATTAATCAAAAAATTTTTTTCTATTTTTCGATAATAAATTAAGTAGACCTATAATTTAAAATCTTGTTTTCTCTTGTACGTGATACTAGTTAATAATTATTATTTTATAGGTTCTATTAACAAAAGACTTAAGATTTATTAAAAATTTTACGATAATTATAAAGCTGCTAATAATAAATTTACTGCATTTTCTTGACACTTTAAGTTTTTTATTCGCTTAGAGTCGAGTCGAATTTTATACAAGGCGTGATATTTTATTTCTTAGTATAATTGTAAAAATATGTTTAGTATAAACTATGAAAAGAAAACAGACGATACCATTTGTACCGGGCTTCTGGGTAGAAAGCATCATTAGGCAGACATTATAGAGAAGAGAAGCAACGTCAAAGCTCAAGGGAAGCCACGTCAGAATCTCTCGAGGGGATGCCAAAATCCTCTAGAGACGTAATACGACCGCTAGAGAAGGGAAGGTCCAACTTCTCCAGTTACTTCAAGTCTGCAAGACTACTACAAGGCTGTAAGAGGTACGCATAACTGACTACACACTCACTGAGAATGACTGTAATTGAAACATTGACCATTCATCCCGAATTTCCGGTTCCTAAAAAATTTCACATGTTAGAAGATAGAGTTGCGTATTATGCTTTCGATAATAATTCAAATATTAAGGTTTCATTTCAGTTTTTTTCCCCTTTCTTTCTTTATAACAAGTGTGTCGAAATTCTTCCAGATACATAAATTCGATAGTAAGTTGTCTCGCTGCTGCCCCGATCAACTCTTTGACAATAAATATTAGACATCATCATGCTATCCGCAATTCTACAGGAAAACGTGCAAGTAAAAATAGCTTAATAAATCACTAACAATGGAACTTTGCTAACCGAATTCAATTCATTTTCGATAGATTTCCTTCATTATAAATTAAGATAAGTTACTTCTTCCTTACAGGATATGTTTAACCAGAATGAAATATTTGTGTAAGGCTGCATTTTTACTATACTAAGATTAAAAGTTGATTGTACTGCAAACCCTATTTTATGTGTTCGAGTGATGGAAATATTATTTCGGTTAAGTATATTAATAATTTTATTTAATTGAGAGAAAATTAATTATAGCTTATATGGAAAATTTCGATTTTAAAATGCTTCAAGAAGTATTGAATTTAATTACTACAAGCAACAGTTTATTTGTCGGTATTAACTTAGACTGTTGTAAAATAGGATCGCTTCTAGACTTCAATCCAACACCTTTAGAAGATTCCAAAGGGAGTCACATGGCCTATGGAATTATGCAAATGGAGTTGGTTCCCATGACGACGAGTGGATCTCCAAATCACACCTGCGTGATGTTTGGACATTTTTCGCTCAAAGCAAAGTGGATTTGAGGAAGAATGCAACCTTTGGATTCTTTTCCAGCGCATTGCTCGAACTAATGATTAAATATGGAATATCTCGGACAGTTTTCTTCCCTATTGGGATTTCGTTTAGTCAAACAGAAACAGAGAATTCATTCTAACTCTCTTCTTTTCCTTTTTTTTTAAATACAAACACAAATATTAATTTTATTTTTAAAATAAGTTTTAATAATTATTACTGGTACATAAAAAGTATTAAAGAATTTTTTTCCTTGAAAGGATTTCAGGCGAATATTTATTAAAATTTACAAGAGGAAGAAAATCAAGGGAAATATATCATGCATATAATTAGAGCGTATAAATTGTTCGATTTAACACTACGAATTAATATAATGGTTTAAATTAGAACTTATTTTTAATTTAAAAAAAAAATAGAAAAGTTGACTATTCATATAAATGAGTTTAAATATAGAATTCCAAACAAATATTAACTTGAAAATCTTAATTATTAATAGAACTTTTTAATATTTTATACGACTGTTAACAAATTTATCATCTGTCTTAAAATAATGTTCAAAAATTCTCCAATGGAATACGAGATACCATAGTGCCTGTGGCAGGCATTTTCCTTGATCGGTACATTTCAGTATTCTCCGGTTGGAACTTCGAAAACAGAACCACCTGCCATTTAACCTGCCTTTAGGTCATTCCGAGAAATGTCTACTTTCCCTTTATCCCTGGTTGTGACGTCATTTTACTTAGAGATAAAGCGAACTCGGATTATGTCAATCATGCAGAATTCTGTTTTTCACACTACAAGGATAAAAAAAAGAGGCAACGCCTTCGTCAGTTCGTCTTATGTATGTCAACTGTTTTGTCAAAGGACAACGGTAACGAGTAATGGGCGGAGAGAACAGAAGTAATATGACCGCCTACACCTGTTGATACCTGTCAATAAATGTAGTCAAACAGGTATAAAGAATACGGTTGGGTGATGGAAATTTTGTTTCTTTCGGAGGTATTTAGATTACAAGTTTTGGAAACTTTCGATTTCGGAATTTTTTTTTAATATTCTCTTTCAGAATGCTTTGATATAGAAACTGAGGGTTGGCATATATTTAGATCCTCCAATCAGGTTATTTTAGATATATATTTTTTAAAATAAATATTATTTCTATTACATTAATTAAAAATTTAAAACTTCCGGCAGGTTTGCAATTCAGGAAAAAGAGAATGGGTGGGTCTCTTAGATAAACCTGATATATTCCCGATATTCATCGTATCGACAATAATTTTCAACAATTAAATTAACAGTAACTGTGCTTTGTGTAGCTTAGTTAAACCTCACACACATAGCTTTTACCATCTGATGGTATTACAAGTCGGATGTATGAGATTTTTTCATGGACAGTTTATATTAAAAAAAAATTTTATTGGAATGACCAAACTTAGATAATTCGCGAAAAACCCTTTAAGCTTCTCAAAAATTCTAACTCGGTTAAAAATTGAAGCTTATAATTAAATGAAAAAGTGAATCTGGCAGATCTATTCCTCGGATGTCGACGTGTTAACAATATGTCTAATTAGCAAATACAAGTCGCTGTTATTCTCGTCAACCAAAACTATGATCGATGGGGATCACGTGACTACTTGGTCTGATGTGGGAAAGGCGTAATTACAGATGAAAACGCGAAGGGAGGAGAGTTCACGTCCTTTTTTTTAGATTCGAATAAATACCATTGCTTTTAATCTATAATTCTCATGCCTTTCGAAAAAAGGAAAAAGTTTCGAAAGAAAGAGTGGAGAGGAAAATAAAGAAAAAAAAAAAAACATTTACACGACTTATAGGATAATAACCCAATTGGAAAGCTATCTCTAAACATTAATTAAAATTTTCTAGAGAAACTTGTCAACGCTCAAAGCGATTAAGAAAATTAGAAGTCCTATTATAATCAAAAAAAGTTTGAATTTTTCTTAAGTAAACGTTGTAATTATGTGAAAAATTTTTAAATATTTATACAAGATTTCAAATATTAATGATAATATTTGATTTGCAATATGAGGAGTTTTTAAAATTATTTGATTGAAAAAAATTTCTTTGGATTAATATAAAATTTAAGAAAACGTTAAAGTGTATTCTTTGCTATAAAGCAAAATGTCCGAAACAGCGAGCACGAAAGTAAAACAACACTTACATTATGAAGCAGATGTATTTGACAGTTATGAATAGGTCTATTACCCCTTTTGAATATTTTAAAGACAAAGTAGAATAGAAAATGGATATTCAAACAAGACGAGTCAGGTTTCGGTGTCTACTGTACAGCAGCATTTTTTTTCTGAGGTTAAATATCAATTTTTACTTGGTAAAACGCGCAATTCAGTTTCTTCGTATCCGGCATACCAAGAATGAGAAGAGGATGATATTGCCTATGATGACATGACTGTCCGCAAAGGGATTGTACGGTGCCACATTGGACGTGACATAGCCACTGATGATTGTCGTAAGGCCCCTTTGGAATACTCCTCGACGTGACAACATCACTCTAAACCAGAATTAGCAATAGTACATTTGGTACAGAAGGATCGTTGTAAAAACTAATGTTAAGAGCGGGTGACATTATAAATGGAACTTCTTATTGTTAAATGTTAAAAATCGATTTAAGCAACTGTTAGTACAGATCGGATTTTTCCCTCCAAAAAACAATCTTCTACCTAACAACTGCATTCAATTGAATTAAATTGAATGTTGGTAATTATATTGGCACGCAACATCAATGTGTCTAGGATAAATAAGAGCGATAAGGACACTCCTAACACGCAGAGGAATTCCAACTGGAATCATCACGATAACATTCAATAACTGAAACATTATTAAAACTTAATTCGAATTAATTTTTATCACGCGACTCGAAAATGCTTAAATAAAGTCACGATTCTTCCGAAGTATAATTAAGAGACAGAGAGAATAATCCTTAAAAATAAGATTAGCGCGATAAACATCTAAGCTTTTGATCAATTAGGGATCGATAATAAAATTAAGACAGAAGAGAAATGAGATTTTTTAAACTTAGAGCCGTTTAACCAGTCAATTGTATGTGGTACCTTGCACAAAACACGAACTAAGAAAATAAATTTCGGCTGACTGCAAATTGGAACGGGCACAATTAGTTTCTAATGATTATAAATTACGCGCCAAGTAAACAACAGAAACGTAATTAAATAAGAAAGCAAGACATCTGTTGACGGAAAAATAAGTCATTAAAGAGGCCGCTAATTGTTTACCCTTAAATGGTGACATTGATAAAGTCTCGGCAACAGTCGATGTGACATCCACCTGCGCGTCGCTCGGCATTTAACGCCCGCTCTCTCCCTCTGACCCTTTCCTAGAGTACCGGCTCTACCAGCTAACTACACACAAGTGAACTTCCTACCTCCATTCGGTGTCGTCCTGTCTTCGGTCGGCGCGTGTTGATCCTCTTTACTGTCTTCGTCGTCTTCCATTTCGTCACCTAAACATACAGACACCGGCTTGAGTAACGGGACGGTTACTACACTTAATGGGCGACAGCACCGTGCCTTACTTACGTTTCAGAGCTCTGGGTTTGGCTTGTTTACGCCGAGACATTATCCGTCCGTTTCTTTCGATGTCACCACAACGTTTGCGTGTCGCAGACTGGGGTTTTGGTATTCAATATTCGCCGTCTACCCTGTGCCACGTCACAGAGACAATGTCTCACAGGGAGCTTCCACTCCCGTAGGAAATGAATATACGCATGCTGGCTGGTAAGGCTTGCAGCACCCAGGAATAACTACTGGATCGACCGGCTGATCTTCAACCAACATACTCCGTACGTATAGACACACGCGCACACTGCAGACCCATGGCGCTCGGACCACCTGGTTGGGTGTTTTTTACTCCACTATTTCTCGCTGGCGGTTGAACTGCCCTCCCTTGTTCTCCCACGGTGTCTTGCGCTCACACTCCAGCACACTTCGGTTTCTCTTTCCCCTCTCACTCGCTTGGTCGGAGCTTCCGGTCATGCGCACTGCTTACCTCCAGGTGTTGGGGTATGTAAAGAGAATGAGTTTCGTCCTTGTCCTTGACATTCGGACGTCGCTTGGTCATCTTTCTGTCGAAACCCAAACATTTTTAACTTTAACCGTTTTTTACACCACCTTTTTAAATAATAATAAATATCAGATTCTCTTTTATCAATATCTACTCTCTAATATCTCATTTTAACGATAAGTATAATAAAGATAAATCATGTAATATTCTATTCTTTTCGGTATTGCCCTATCATTTTTTATTATTTTTTTCCCTCCGTATTAATAATCGCTTCTTCTTTGCCTCATTTAACAGGAATATCTATAAACGAAAAATTTTCAACACGAAGTTGACAAGCAGCGAAAACACAATAAATACTACTTACCCTTTTTTTAAATAAGAGAACATTACTTCCGATGACATTTTTATGCAAAAGATAATGGATGCGTCACAAATGGGAAAATTTCCCTTAATAAAAGATACAGCTTTATACAACATTCTACGTTTTTTCTTAATATTCTAGGAATGTTTTCAGAAGCTTTTTATCAATTTTAATACAGGCATAACCATTCATCAAACGAATATCGTAAATTCTCTCTTCTTTTTCTTTTTTGCATAATTTAAAGCTATTCATCAATTATTAAAAGTTAAAAAAAAAAACATTTATCCTTTTGAATATTGTTATTATGGAGTGACAATCTTCAGAAAGAGAGAACAATGAATTATTGGCCCATCACCAAACTCTAAACTCGGTAACGTTCTTCTTTTTCTCGGATCTGTCTGTGCCCTTGAATCGTAGACGAAACTAACTTTCTTCATAAATAGAATTAAGTAAGAATTCATTAATGGTTAATAATGTTAATAAGCTAATTATCTAAATGTAATAATTAATCTAATGAGGTGGCAAAATTAGTTATGGAAGACGATTAATTTCTGATTTCTAGACTTGTCTCCTGATATTACAGGACGAATTACATGTTAGACAATTAAATAATCGCTCAATGATGGAATTGAATCATAATCAGTTTTAATGTCATAATTAGGTAATTAGTGGAAATGGATAGCAAAGAGCCTATTACAGTTTCGGATGCGGATTTACGGCAAACCAGTTATCTATTTTTTTGTTTCTGCAGAGATTTTTTTTAGGATTTTCGTATCCATTGGTTTGTAAATTAAAATCTTTCTTTTTGTGGATGACCAAGAACGTTAATAATCTGTTCGCTTCAGCGAGTAGCAGACAACAGATGCGTCTAGACCGTAACAATTTCAAATTTTGGAGTATATCGGGCCGAACACAAAGAACTTAGTAAGGAAAAAATAGTTACGACTGCTTCGTAAAATCGTTAAAGAAAAGTCTGCTTTCTAGAATACACCTTATTTGAAAACCACTGGTCTTACAGGAATTTTTACGACAGCGACAAATAGCCTATAGTAGGATAGTTTCTTAATTCATTCAACGTTAAAGTTGATCATAAAGAGAAAAGTCGATTTTTTTTCCCCTCCGTCTTCTTTGGAATTAATAAACGAAAAATGGCCGAGAGGTGTCATTTCCAGCAGTCGATAGTAATGACCCCTAGCGGTAACAATATGAACTATACTATGGAATCTTCTACAAAAGGTCACCTTAGGGATGCCATCAACTGATTGATTTACTGAAATTTCTCGCATTGCGCTTTCCAATCTTAATGGCTCCTACCGACGATCGAGCTCTAACAGCGCAGATAAGAAACCTTTACAGCCGCGCAGTTAATATACACACAGATTTTACGCTTTGTGTGTCAAAAAGAATTCCTTTCTTTAAGTAACATTCATTTCTAAGGAAATTCCTTCTACAGTTTGACAAATCTTTTTGCTTTTACTGCAAATGATGTCTTCTGAGCAAAATTTAACTTCTTAAATCGTATTTGTTTTTTAAAAAATCTCATCTCAAACCTGTAATTCAGCATTTAAATTACCAAATTTTAGCCAATTTATCGAATTTTTCGATTGGAAACGTACGATTTTTATAAAATTTCTTTATAATTTTCAATTAATTTGCATATAATTGTTGAATATTTTGATAAGAAAACATTTAGATTGTGTTATTAAAGACTTAATTTTTTCTAATATTTAAACAATCTCTCATTATTTTGATTAATTTATTTATAAATTTTGTCAATTTGTTGAAGAATCATTAATATTTATGTGGGGTTTTTTGTCGATAGAGGGAAGCACCTTCAATGCACGAAAATCGTTTTTTCTCTTTCATCACCCTCAGAAACTTCACTTCGTCTAGAAATTAACGCCATTATAAATGCTTAATAAAATAATTTAATAAATATTTAAAAAACTATACCCAGAAAAATATATTTTGCGTTATGATACAACAAATACGATATCTCGAAACAGAAAATGTATTATTCTATCTTTATTTATAATTTTTTGAATGTTTTAAATGAAATAATAGATTAAAAATTAACAAAAAAAATAAGATTTAGTTGAAAGGAGTAACATTTAAATTTAATGGTTAATTATTTAAAGGAGATAAAGTTAGTTCTTAACGTGTTTTCACCTTTAAAATGGCTTAAGCCAATGTTAATACCAAAAATTGCTACTTAAAATACTACTGAAACAAGCTTACTTAACTCGGTTAGTAGCATAATTTATAAAGATTAGCAGAGCCAATTAAAGATAATCAGTCATGGGTCATCTATCAATACAGGTTTTCTGCTATGGATTACAGTAGTTCGAAGGGGTGGAGGAATATGACAGAAGAGACACCTTCACCGACGCCTTCTCTTACTGCATTGGCATGCTGAAAGGTGATTATAATCAAATATAGATGACAATTAATAAGGGGAAAACCCTAAGTTGTATGTCAATACCTTTCGGAATTATAATTTGCTATTTTAACAATCTTACTGCATAACAAGGACAAATAGTGCGCTTAATAGAGTTATCAAGTTTTATATTTTTTATTATAGAATGCACGTGGCAATTTTTAATATTTTTCTCTCTTTTTTTTGCATTAGTATAGGGGGAGAAAAAAACCCGTATCCCTTCAGAATTGATTCGGATAAGTTATATGAGTTATCAACATGGATGAATTCAATTATCTAATTTAAAAAATGCATACGATGAAAATTTTATGACGTCGTCAAGTTCAAATTAAAAAGATTGAATAAAAATACATATACTTGTTGGGAGAAAAGGGGAAGAAAATAATGGACAACCCTAATCGAGTAAAGTAGTCAATGCCCCACATCGAAGGCATCCAGAACAGGCGTCAGTTGGCGCTGTTCGCCACCCAGGGAAATCATGGCAATCGATCAGGAGACGGCATCCCCACCCCAGTGTCTCTTTCATCCCCAAGGAGCAAGCCAGATATCAAGAGACAGTTAGAAAAAAGTTTTCAATTTACAGGTTAGAAACGAAAGAAGCCAGAAAGATTTTCTTCACCACTAAAATTCGTTTTATTTGTCAACCACTTAGTACCCGAAAGCAAAAGTAATATAGAAAAGTTAGAGGGCATTAGTCTTATGACTACAATATTTCTATCCTTCGCAGGGTGCATGTTTCTAACCCTATTGTTCTCTACCTAAACCAATTAGTTCAAAATCTTGCCGGAGGGATGTTATAGAAGAATAAGAAAAAATCAGACATTTTTACGAGCTATTTTGTTTTCCTTCTCTTCCCCTTCATGTTTTAAGTTAGTCTGGGAAGTGGTAAAGAGATGATTATGGCTTCTCTGCAATGACTAAATGCTTCATTAGGCTGCACGCCATGCCCTCTTGTAAAAAAGAAAAATGAATTCTCATTGCGAGAATATATAGTGCAGTCCACTATCACGCTATTGGCACAATCAAAAGTCAGAACATTTGAACGTGATGAATGAAAAAACGTTATTCGTGTTTCACGTTTATGTAAAGCATAGCGAATTCGAGAAGACACCTGTCGAACCTTCTTTTTAACAATTTAATTAATGAGCTGAAACGTTTAATAAAATTTTCAGAAGGCTTATCTATCTTTCAAGCAACCTTTTATAACTTAAGTCAATGTCGCTAATTGATGCTGACCAAAACCAAACCAGTTCGAATATTAAAATGAAAAATGATGTTTCAATAGGTTTTATAAAGTATTTTTAAAGTTAAGATTACTTTTTAAGGTTAACAAACTTTTTAAGTGTAAAAAAAGAGTATAAAAAACAGAAAAAAGATCAAACAATACATGATAAATGATTTTGAATGTGCTTTGTTTTAAGGTAATACATTTGACAATTAATTAAAGTTTTTAATTTAAATTATATATTAGTAAGTTCACAGATGTACGAGGACATTTTCTGTATAAAACCCTAAAGCTACATAAATGTATATCTTTAAGACCATCGAATGTGCTTTAAGGGTGGGAAGGTGCGTTAAGATGAAGCACAGGTAAACCTGACCCTACTTCGAAGAGTTTATTCTTAAAGGACGGTCAGTTTAAATGGATTAATGTCTGATTAATCATGATTGACGGGAAAAGAGACAGTACTGCGTCATCATTTATCAACATGACAAATTTAGGGAGCAGTTTGTAATCATAAGGATTATAATTATTGTAACTCGCTTTAGAGAAGTTAACATGAAAAAAATAATAAAATAAAATAAAATAAAACATTTCAAGTACGATTTAAAAAAAAAAACATAAAATTATGTTATCTTACCTGAAATTAGATATCGTTTCATTTGAAAAAAAAATTTTTTTTGTAGGCAAAGTCTCTCGGGTTCATCATTTTTATCTGATGGCAAACATGTGAGATGTAATGTTTATTGATCTAACATATTGCCTGATACTAATGTTCTTAGAATTAAAGTATTATGTTTTGACTTTAAAAAATTCCTCTTTTTATTATTTTAGAATGAACTAAAAATACACTTTTTAAGTTTAAATTATTTGAATTTTATGTAAAATTTATGTGATATGTGAAATGCCAAAATTTTCTTCACATTACGCATTAAAATCTAATATGTTTCATAAAATGACACCATCTTACATCAAGCGAGATTGAAGGAATTTGGATCAAAAGCGACACTATTTTATATCTCTCGAAGCTTAAATTATATTTTAAGCCTATCAATTTTGCAAAAATAAAATAAAAAAAAAAACGTTTAAAATATAAAATATTATATTAAAATATAGATAAAGAGATACAAAATTGACGTCTCTCGACCTATACATAACTTATGCATGTTAGACAGAGATTCAAATGTAAAAAATGATAAACACTTTTTAAAAAATAAAATAAAATTCAGAAGAAAAAAATTGGATATGTTATTTATTTTATTGTTAGAAGAGCAAGCTAAATAATTAAGAAATATTAATCTTTTGGGAAGTTTCGGCTCAACATAAAGACTAAATGTGTAAGTGTCTCATTAGTGTCTACTTAAAGAATCTTAAAAAAAACGAAAATACGACAAAAATAAGCGAATTAATACGGTCTTAAATTAGAAACAAACACGCAGTAAAATATTAAAATAATTCTCCGCATTTAAGAATTTA